GGTGTGGAAATTTGTGAAAGATCATTATAGTTCCGACTTCATTTTCAATAGTTCTATAGTACCTGACCTACGAAGATAATATTTCTCTTAAAATAAACATCTCACTTCGTATCTACTCGACATGCGTCCACAGAAAAATAATTTCTTTCCTCTTTACAATAGAAAGGGGTCGAAATAAAAAAACCAGACTTGATCGTAATCATTATTAATTCAGAGTTCTGACTTCATTTTCAATAGTTCTATAGTACCTGACCTACGAAGATGATATTTCTCTCAAAATAAACATCTCACTTCGTATCTACTCAACAAGTATCCGCAGAAGAATAATTTCTCTCCTCTTTAAAATAAAAAAGGGATCGAAATAAAAAAAAAAACAAAAAAAAAACAAGACTCGATCACTGCGAAAGATGTCTCGTACGCCACGATTTCCCGTAACGTAAATGTAATAACCACGTTGTACGGGAGTCTACTGTAATGAATCGTCAAGAAGGGATGCTCGAGGGCACAAGAGAAGCGCGTATCGGCCGTCGGGGCGCACTCGTGCGAAGGTCGAGTCGGTGGCTGAAGGGTGGCAGCCGAAAAAGGGGCAAAGAGGGGCAAGATGCAACGCACATCTATTGATTCTCCTTCAGCGTGAAGGCCCGCGTGTCCCACTCACTTTCGGAAGCACACGCACTCGGTTGCTCGCGCACTTTCCCCGGGTGGTTGCGTGTATACACCGACACGCGTGCCTGCTGTGTGTGAGATGTGCGTGTACGTGCACACAGGGCCACGTACGAGTGCGTCCCGTGAATGCAGGGCACGGAACAGCCTCTCTCGACGGAGAAGAGAAAGAAAAAAAAAAAAAGAAAAAAGAAAAGGGGGAACTGGATTTTGCAACCTCCCTTCCGTGCATTCCTACTGTGAATTTCCTTGGCCGGCTGCATAAAGAATTAGAACTCCACTACACGCGGTTCCGCCTCAGCTACGCGGAGACGCGCAGAGAGAGGAAAAAAGAAAAAGAACAGGGAAAGAAAGACATCGACGAGGGCTGTCGGGGGTAAGGGGGGCTCGCGCGTCCAAAAAGCCTTACTGCGCCGCGGCTTTTTGCACTTGCAACTTTGCTGGACAACGTGTGCTCGGAATTTCTATAGGGCCCAAGCCATCGGCTTTGCAAACAGTAAACCAGATCGGCCACTGGACACGCTCTCTCGACACTGAATAACAAAATGGAAGAAGCGATCGAACAACTTTGTTGCCTTTGATAGGACGGGGCCTCTCGTCGATCTTATCGGGAGGGCAATTAACTCGAATGTAACCGAAATGTAGCTCGTGCTGAGAATACGACGCGAAAGTTGCCGCGCGGGAAAAGGAATACCGGAATAGTTGAGCTGGATAGAAACTTTCAGTGGCCAATGAAAGGTTGAATATTGTTGTTATTTGTACGACGAAAATGGAATCTGTATTTTCAGATGAATTTATATTCCACATTATCTTTCTATGTTTAAATATCCGTACGAAAGATATGCCAAGTTTGATGTAAAAAAAATAGCGTGTTCTCTATGTTGGAGAAACGTTTATGAATTTTGAATGGAGAGAAAACGGTGAAATACTATGGGTGCGTTATTTATTCAATAATAATTTATATTGAATTGTAAGATGAATTTATATTCGATGCTATATTGTCCTTGTTTTAAAAAAATAGCATCTTCTCAAAATTGATAGGCGCATAAACTTTTTATGAAAGCATGTTGTGTCATTATGGCGAATTAAACATTCAGAACAACGGATAAATGGACGAATATTAATTTTTAAAATAAATTTGTTTGTCCTTGATACCTTGTCCATTAAAGAAACTCAACAAATATTGAAAATTCGAAGAACAACTGAAATTACTTGTATACATATATGTATTACTGACTAAAATGAATGCACTAAATTTCGCAACTAACCCAGTCAACGACAATTTTAATATATATATATTTCATTAATATGGTCCTTAAAAGTTTTGAAAAAGTCAATAAATAATTTGTAACTATGAACGTATAGTCACTGTGATCTAATAAATATACATATGAAATTTAGTGACCTTCGTTTTAAAACTTTACATTAATAAAAAAGAAAAATACAAGAAATTAAAATTGCTATTTCGTAAATAGACTGATATTTTGTTGTTTTTCATTGTATGTTATTTTATTTTACGTTAAAATAAATGTATTTAATTAAATGGCTACCTAAATTATATATATATATATTTTGTCTTTTTTTTCGATGTACACTATATTTTGTATACACTTCTAACAGTTATTTACTATAAGTATACCCGAAGACTTCATATAGTACATCGAAACAACTAATTAATTCAACAGATGCTAAAATTGCTAGTTAAAATCAAGGAAATCACATTAACTGTTCTTTTGTACAAATCGACCAATATGTATACTTTGGTTTCATCAATCACGTTTAACAGTTATTTATTCTCAATAACATAACATAATTCAGGCTACTATAGAACACCGAATCTAATTAAACTAAATAAATGTTAAAGTTCCTCGTTAAAATCAAAGAAATCGCGTTACTTCCGTCCTTTCGTGCAAGTGTTTACGATTATCCTTCGCCAAAATAATATTTCGAAATTCTCATTGCAATTACTTACATTTTCTGCGAAACATCGTACCAAAGACACTCTGAGCGTGGCTGTAATCTTCAATTTCTAATTCACTGTGCGCGAACCGTTCGATTTCCACGTTTCAGTTCGCATTGGTAAGGAATGTAAGGATACAAACGCGAAAACACGTAACTATGGAGAGTCGACGAGCGTCGACTTCCAATATGCACGGCCGACCTTAACATAGAGCCTGCTTCGAGGAACAATTATATTCTCGCCTTTGTTTACATGAATCGCGAAAGGCACGCAAGTAGTGTCGCAAAAACCGTGTACCTCGGCACGGACCGTTAACAGGATGCAAAGTGTGATTCGAATGTACATACAAAAGTCATCGCGCCGGCTGAGCCAAACATGCAGAAACACAAACAAGTGCCGTTAAGGTTACGGAAACAATTATTTGAGATGTCTCTATAGGAATAACCGAGAGAAATTGTACACCGAAATTCACGTGAAATTCATTCAACAGCGATCACCGCTTCTGCAGAATATTCCACGAAATTCTACGATTTACTTGTAGCGTTAATTGCTTTTTTCTATTAATTAATGCAAGAATGCAATATGTAAATGCGACAACTAAGTGCATCGATTTATTTCGGCTTCGAAATTTGTTACTTGCCAGTTTTCTACACTAAAGTGTACTAATTATTCGATAATTTATTCAAACGTGTGACTAATTTCGAATATTTAAGTTGACTACCCGAAAGAATTGCAATTTAGATGTTATCTAGATGTTATAAATTTAGAAACAACTTGGGACGGAAATTTTAGTCGAATAAATTATATTACGATTTACTAAATGTTTAGTTTTTGAGAATATAGGCTAATAATAATAAATTTGATAAATGGACCGCCGCGATTTATACAGACACGATAGTTAGTTCGACAACAACAAAATTTAAACAAAACGCGATGGCGCGAAATGAACGTCACTCTGGCATCTTCCTATTTAACTTTGACAACTCGATTCATTCGGTGTACCAAGTTTATTTAAAATCGATTCACATGTCTCTTCAAACAATCACGGCGTAACAAATGGATATTTAAACGTTCGCGTGCATGAATGGAAAATTTAAAAAAAATCGGACAGGTATCAGATAAAAATAAAATAAAGCGCAACTTACGAAAATCGGTCTTCCTTGCATCCGTCTCCCGCCTTTTAGCTTTCTTATTCTTCTTTTTTCTAATTTGTCAACTGTCACCTTAATTTTAGGGCGTTAAATGCTACTGAATTCCAACCCTTTCGCGACGTGCCACTAAACGCCGGTACCACGCACGGGCGAAATTCATTTTCGACAGTACATTTTTCTGCTCTTTCTTCGAATGTCAGATCACGAGAGTCACTTGTCGAAGGCTTAGGGATTTTCGTAACATCGTACACAACGGGTGGCGAAGCAGTGACAATGTTAAGAAAGGTAACCGATCTGCACGAAAAAATATTAACTCCACCGTCCGTACGCTGCCAGCAGCGAAGGCGACTGAAAACAGAGAATCGGCCGGCAAGATCGTCGGTCTCATGGACGCCCTTGTCACGCATTGAAAACGAAAATTCGGTCCGAGACCAGTGGCGCCGTCTAACGAAAGCGGGAAGATTATCGCTACTTTTAGACGTTTTCGTAGTGCGATAGTTAGTTAGTTAGTTATTTATTTTCTTTAGACTTCACAATTTGGTATGAGTCTGAAAGATGGCGTTCGAGGTAGTATTCCCTTCTCTTGCCCAACGAAAATCTAATCATTTTCGTAGTGTGATATTCGCGTATTTATTTTTAGATATAGTCTCCAAACTAGTAGTTCCTAATTTTTATTGAAGGAGAATATAAATTTGATTAATGAAATATTCTAATGGAAATGAATAAGATTGCTTTTCTAATAAAGGAAATGATATTAAATTTCTGATTTTGTTGAATTGTTGATTATTAATAATAAAACTAACGAGTACAAACAGTTATGTAAGGAAAGCAGCAAATTAGATACATCTAATCCCCCGTTTACACACTACTTCTACTACATGGTTTTCAAAACAACGGATTTCTAAAAATAAAAAATGTAAAATCGAAAATTTATGCACATATTTGTAGTATTTTTTTGTTAATATTGGCATTAAACCTACAAAAGAGAATATTTTTAAATTAAATAACTGACTAAATAGAGTTACACAAGAAAGTTTCCATTTAAATTAGAAGATAGGTGTATTTGCGGAACTTGCGCATTAATAAGTGAATGAACTTTATAGTAATAAAATTATAGTATAGTTTTATAGTATTACAGTGAGTACATAGTATTACGAAGACAAAATTACTGTACGAATATTTTTGGTTGAATGATTTTCCATACAGGAATAAATTAAATGGGCTGGTTTCATGTCGGTTAAGCTTTATTTGTAAATTATCTATACAGCTCGACCGTGTTGGTAATACTTTAATATCTCAATAATTTAAATCATGAGAAATAAATTTTATTCAAAGTTTCAATTTATGACCAAATTCGCGAACAGAATACTCCGTTATAAATAAAATCATTATTTGACTACGAGTATTGATACATTAACCAACAATTAGCACATTATCTTCTAGGAATTCGTAATATGGGACTTCGAGGTTCAGAGGTGCAGGTCCTTTCCTGATCCTTCCACTGGCATCATAGTGAGATCCGTGGCAAGGACAATAATATCCACCAAAATCACCGGCATTGGCAATAGGGACACATCCTAAATGTGTACATACACCAATTACAACTAACCAGTCTGGCTGTTTTACACGTTCTTGATCTGTTTGCGGGTCTCGAAGAATTGAAATATCAACTGCTTGTTCTTTCGCGATTTCACTTTTCGGCCTGTCATTGTTACAAAATAAGAATAACATTGAATACATGTTAAAGAGATAAATAAAATTTACGATATCCAAGTGCATACCTGTGTCGTATAAACAGAGGTTTTCCACGCCATTTGAAAACAACACTTTTGCCTTCTGGAATAGAGTCCAATTTAACTTCAATTTTTGCCAAAGCCAGTACATCTGCAGAAGCACTCAGAGAACCTACTACGGTGTGTACAAGGCTCTTAGCTGCAACGGCAGCACAGATTCCAGTACCTATGTAATAAATAAGAATTCATAATCTTATGATCAAATGATATATAAATAGAGACAAAAATATCTTACCAGCAAGCGTGAGATATGAATATGCTTTTCGTGCGCCTGCACTCTCTCTGCTGTCTGCTGTTGGGCTTTTCACAGAGTCTCTACGATACCCAGTCATGTCTGGCCACTGGACATCTGTATGTGCTAATCTCTTTTGAGATATTTGTGTGCTCCCTGCAAAGACACAATGCAAACAAAATAATGTTCCCTTCTAGTATGAAACTTGCTTGTCAGTCGAATAATAATAAATAAAAAATTCGAGATAGAAAAGAGGGAGTAGCAACATTTTCAGTTTTGCAACATACATATTTCATAAACGGTAGGCTCAATTGATAATACAGTGGTCTGCAAACCATGTACAGTGTACATGGTACGATTACATAATCGGACCTTGTAAAATCGCAATTTCATGAAATATATAGGAAAGTCAAAAAAACTATGTCGAAGAAAAAGTTTCGAACCTGTTATTCCTGAGCTTACTCGCACAGCTCCAGATAAAAGGCTTTCAGACATACTCTGCGGAACCATTCGACTGACGGCAGGTCGCACGACAATGTGTGGTTTGAAAACATTTCCAGTTCCAGCTGCGGGCCGAATTCCGTTCGAAACTACAGTTGACGTCGATTTTAATATCGGCGACAAGTTCGTCGATTTCGCCACCACGTTCATTTTTACTATCCGCACACGTAATAATGAACGAGGTGATCCCTTCGAACACTGACTAAAATTCGAAGACTTCCACTGTCAGATGGCTCTGGGATCTAAAGTGCATACGGTTCAATAGATATTGCACAAGAATACGCAAACTGCGCATTAATTGAACAATTTACAAGTCTCTACGCTTGAACAGTATTATGAAACAGTATTTGAAAGTTATATTTTAACTTCTACAAAGTTCTGATGATTTTGATTTTTTTTAGATGTTAAAATATAACTTCTAAAAACTTCTAAAATATAACTTTTACGTTGCGTTTGATTCCTTTCTATTTGTGTAACAATGTTTCATAATACTGTTCAAACGTAGAAACTTGTACATTGTCCAATTAGTGAGCAATTTACGTATTCTTGTGTAATACCTATTTTATCACGAGTAAATGTGCAATTCCTTACATAAAATAAAATGATAATGAAAATGAGATTAAAAAAATTACTCTACATTTGTTCCATTATTATTTTTGAAATAATTCTGATATAGATTATTATTACGGTTTTGAAATTACTTCATTGGTGGCGCTGTATTGAGTTGCTACTTTTATTTCATGAGCACGTGACTGATCTCATCTATCTTATGCTTTTACACAGTTCACGTGTTTTCGGGATTTCACCCGAGTTTTCATAACCTCTTGCAACATGCGCATAGAAACATGTTATTTTTGTTCGTCCCGGATTTATCCGGGACATGGAATTCAATTCGTCAGAAATGATTGCAAGGTCAGCATTTTATTAAATATATCTTATGTGAATGTTTTAAGTTAAATAATCTCGAAATAATTGTGTTTCGAAACAGTAGCTATAACCTTTGTAGTTATGTGTATAATTTTGTAAATTGTATTGTACGTTTGATTTATTCACCAGATATTCAAATTTTGTCGTTCGAAATGCCACGCTGCGTTTAAGAAGAAGAAAAATCCAAGGAAAGTCAAATGGACTAAAGCATACAGGAAAACTGTTGGCAAAGAATTGGGGGTTGACCCGTCGTTTGAATTCGAAAGGAGGAGGAATATTCCTATGAAATATAATAGAGAATTGTGGAATAAAACAATTGACGCGATAAGAAAAATAGAAACTATCAGACAGAGGAGACAGAATTTACATATAATGCAGCGGTTACGTAAAGGAAGAGAATTAGAAAGAGAAAGAGATGTTAAGGAAGTTCAGCGTGATCTAACTCTCATACGATCACCTGCTGCTGGACTTAAAGAAAGGAAGAAATTAGAAGAAGCAGCAGAGCAAAATGAAAAAATCCAAGATTCAGATGATGAAGAACCACAAGAAATGGAAGTAAATTAATTGCATCATTAGATTCAGGAATCGCATCTCTTAAATTATTAATTCTCTTAAGTAAATTCTTGTAAAGTAAATATTTCTTCACTTCATATGTTTGTAATTTAGAAAAGAAATAGAAAATTTTGATCATTATACATAAAGATAAAAAATTACATTATTCGTTATTTTTACGCTAGGCTATATGACTGTTTGCATTAAAACATTGTAAATATAAGTTACTTAAGTTTAAATTAAAATAAATCTATTATATTTCTTTATCTTAAATCTGGTATTGTTTATCTTCCTTTTTTTAGAGCATTTGTGTATATATCCATTTTTTGATACGCTTGTGTAGATAACATTTAAATAACTTTGAAGAAATAAGTCATTTCGAAAATGTTTGTTGTATATCTTGGGTGCATTCAGAAAGGTTACCGCTTTTCGTTTCAAAACATAGCGACAGCTCTGACAAGTCAGTGACTGAATTATACTAATTACTAAACTCTAATTGTTAAAAATTACAGTTTATTATTCATAACATTCATTGCAATCATATATTTCCATACATAAGAGCATATAGGCAAGTTAATGGACACAAAAACGGTATCGCCATCTCGCGGCGGTGTCCGAACTAATTTTTCATATATATATATATCATATTATTAAATAAAAAATACAGAAAAAAGTGGCGCCATCTCTCCACAAACCCCCCAAGTTTGTCGTGAAATAGTTCCCTCCTGGCGTCGCTAGATGTCGCTAAGAACATGAAATTATTCAAATCATAAATTCTCCACTTCTAACTGCATATAAATGTAATTTTACATCATAATTATTATAATTAAATATCTTGTTGTTGATTTGTAGACTAATAATTAACTGATATTAAGTTTTTTAAATAAATAAAAATATCCAAGTATATTGCGTCATCTAGCGGTACGAAACGGGAACTATTTCTCGACAAACTTGGGCGGCTTACGGATAGATGGCGTCACATTTATCGGTACTTTTTTTTTATTTAAAAAACTTAATATGAGTTAATTATTAGTTTACAAGTCAACAATTAGATGTTGAAGTATGATAATTATGATGTAAAATTACATTTATATGCAGTTAGAAGTGGAGAATTTATGATTTGAATAATTTCATGTTCTTAGCGACATCTAGCGACGCCAGGAGGGAACTATTTCACGACAAACTTGGGGGGTTTGTGGAGAGATGGCGTTACTTTTTTCTGTATTTTTTATTTAATAATATGATATATATATATATGAAAAATTAGTTCAGACACCGCCGCGAGATGGCGATACCGTTTTTGTGTCCATTAACTTGCCTATATGCTCTTATGTATGGAAATATATGATTGCAATGAATGTTATGAATAATAAACTGTAATTTTTAACAATTATTGTACTGCTCATTCCTCTGGGGCAATGATACATCCCATTTATTACTTAAAGCTTATTCGAGCTGAATAAACATAGAAAGTAATGAGAGTGATTCGATACGCTTTATCGCGGGATAAACGTGATGTTTTAATGAGGACTTAGTATAAACCTTATGATACACGTCTTTTATATTTGTGTTATCAATTTTGTCTGCTCTAGATCATTGAATATACACTGTATAATCTCATTTCAAGAGCGTTTTAGGTCTTCCTTTTTTATAATAGAAGAATAATAACTCTGAAAACGACTTCATACATTTTACAATATCTTTTCAAACACATATTTAAACAAATGCTTTATAAATCATTCTACAAAAATTTTCTACTTCTGACAGTTGCACGATGTATTTCGTTTGAAAGTCTTGGTATCTTTCACCAGGTATCAAATGGTTCGATGACCCTTCTTGAGATATTCAACCATGCGATTATAATTGAAGTAAACGAGCTTTCGAAGCGACAATAATCAAGTTTGACATCCCTGGGTTCGATAATTAAATATTCTTTATTCTTGGTTCATTAGATCACTATCGTTTTGTTCAAAAGCACCTCGTGACACCTGTTTTCATAATAGAAGGATAGTAATCTTAACAGTTATTATACAATTATTCTTCAATAGTCTCAACAATCATAGTACAAATTATTGTCCAAAAGCTCATTATGTCTTCTATAACTTTTCCCAGGTACGCCACGTATATCGTTTAAAAGACGTTCGGTATTTTTCGCCAGGTTTCGACTAGTTTGACGACCCTTTCCGGAGGTGTTCAACCGTGTGATCACAGCTGAAGAAAACGAGCTTTCGAAGTGGCGGTAACGGCGAGGTGTGACCGCACCTCGATGACACTGTAAACACTCGATCGGTGTTTCCAGCAATTACCAGGTAAACCGCGGGGTGTTGTTTGCCGCGGACGAAATGTGTTACAACAACAGAAGCGGCGTACAAGTTGCGCGCACGAGAGTGAAGAGGATCGGCAATACGGAGCCCACTCGAGTTACGCGGTAAAGAATGGTGTTCTCAAGAGCGTGAGCTTGCAGATTTCTTCGGCTCGAACAGTACGGACCGCGGCCAATCTTTTCGGCGACCTTACCCTTTCATTCGTGCCGACTGTGTTTGTTCCAAGTCCAAGGAACATAAACCCGAATATTTCGTGCTAATGGAAGGACGATCGGCTCGCAGCCCGTCACGCGAGAACGTGACCGTGACATCTTCACGAAAATTAGTGTGTGAATGGAAAATTACATACAGAGTGGAAGTAAAGGATTTTCCGAAAGAGGCATCAGGATCTTACTTTTTAATAACATGGTGCACACTTAAACGCGCCATCTTTTACGTTTACGTTATCTTTTTTTATAATAAATAATGACAAAGGTGACGAAAGGCTCTTAAAGACGTGTAAAGAATATTTGCACATGTCTGTAGAATTATAAATTTGCATCATATTTTGTCATCAAAAATAACAATGTAATTATTCCAAACAAACATTGCACACAGTTATTACACAAACTCCCTCGCAATGAGATATGCGCGTAAGTTATATGTATATTTACAACTAATCATACGCGCAATCGTGATCGATTAAACATTAATAAAAATTACGATTAATAAAATTAATAAAAACATTAATAAAATTAAAAATATTAATTATATATAATAATATATATATATAATAAATCTATAAATCTATAAAATATATAAATAAATTATATATATATATATATATATATATATATATATATATATATATATAT